AGAAGTAGAAATAGCAAAAAAAAAAAGAAAAAAATAAATAAGCATGTTCTTTAAAAATTTGATTTTCAATAAATATAATATATAGTATAATACTTATATTATTTTTATTGATTAAATCAAGTAACTTAATATGTCGATTATTATTATATAGTTCAAAACATATAATTTAAATTTAAATCTTATAAATATTACATTTTACATTATTTATTCTACACATTCAAATATTAAAATAAAAACAAATGATCAAATAACTTAAGTAACTCAATGGTCAAGTGAAACCATGGCCTTTGTGCTTGGGTTTAAATCTTCACATCCCTAAAAGTATTTTGAGATTTATTTTAAGATAAGTTCAATTCCAGAGTAGGTTCCACCAAGGTCGGTTTAATCAAGACCAACCAAGATCAGTTCAGGTAGGATAAACTCCTAGACCCTGGAACGGCTTGGGTGAGATCAGATAGGATCGATATAAGGCCAATTCAAAGTCGGGTCCAGGTAAAGCCTACCCATTTACTCATCCCTACTTAAAGGCTCATATAATTTCTGAACAAGGAAATGGCAGTTTGGTCTTACGAAAAAATAAGTAAATCAACATCTTATAATAAAACAATTCCGCCCTCTTCCATGATGTCTATGACGGACTCATGATTTGTCTCAGACCTGGAATTCATTTCCCCAACTTTTTGGTTGTGTGCCACACTGCCAGCAGGCTGCCAGGGTATGTTTTGACTGGATATCTACTCTCAAAAGTCCATAGTGTTGGACTCCCGGCCTATTTTCATTTCTTCTTTTGGTTGTAGGCTTCTAGCTACCTGCGTCTTCATTCTGAAGGAAGGTCTGCCTAACTTTAACCCATTAATAATACAAAATAGACTCGTAATGAAATATACTCGTCTCTGATGAACAAACATGAGGAGCTCTCAGAGAATTGGAGTCAGACACTACAGCAAATCTGATGTTCCAAGACTACGCTGGACACCTGAGCTTCACCAGCGCTTTGTATCGGCCGTCGATCACCTCGGCGGAAAACACAGTAAGTTCCAGTTGCAGAGCCGTTGTTAATTAATTAGCTATTACCCCCAAATTTTTTTCTAGTTAAAAGAACTGTTGAGAAAACAGGAAGAACAAGAAATTAAAAATGGCCCAAGAAAAAAGAATCTGGACTAAATATTTTAAGCATCAATCTAACGTGGTTGCTTGATGCTGTGTGTTAACTGGTTTTGCAGAAGCGACGCCAAAGCGTATTCTACAACTGATGAGCGTAAAGGGACTGATGATATCTCATGTCAAGAGCCATCTTCAGGTACAATTACCATGTTTCCTTGAAAGAAAGAAAAAAAGGAATTTTGGATTCTTAGGAATACTATCGAATTTACTAAAAGCATTATAATAATACCTCAGGTTTTGCAGACACCTAATTATTTCAATCCCATATGATGATAATGGTGGAAAATTCAAGCTTTTAATTATATATATAATATTTGATGAACAACTCAGCTGCTTAGATTGTATTATCTCCATCCAATTAATAAAGAATATTTTAATCCGTCTGGAGTGTTCTTTCCCATCTTTTTGTTTTTAAAAGAAAAAGATGTTTCCTTTTGAGTGCAGAGAAAGAGATCTAGATCAGAGATGACAAGCAATAAAATTGAACAACGTGTTAAAAATCAGTTCATGTCGGCAGTTCATTAATTTGAAGCAGTACTCCAAATAGTATCAAGCCTTCTTTTCAGTCCCTTTCCTTTCACATTTCAATTCAATAGCCACTATAGAAAAGTTTTGTAACTTGGATCCACATAAATCGGTAGAGATTTATAAAAGAAGAAAACTAATAAGATTTATCAGCAGGCCAGTTGTTTGATCAATGCTCAAATGCTGAAATGACTTGATATTTGGATCTCACAGTACCGAAGATGCAAGGTCATCTTAGGAAGCCAAATATGGGCCAAAAGTTCAGAATTAAATTCATGGCACTAATCTCAAATGTTCAGAAGAATAGCAAAAAATAAAGAAATTAAAATCATCATCATCCAAGTCTTATCTCAATTATGGGTCATCTCCTGTTTTGCCCTTTATTCTTTTTAATGTCATATCCATTGTTAAATTATGAATACTTAAATTATTTCATTATTACTTTAACCCATGTCTTCTTCTATTCAATATGCAATAATAGATCACTTATTAATTAAGTCTAATTTCTCTCATTTTATATCATTAGAACAAAAAATAAAAAAAATTAAATAAAATGGTTTCATTTATATTTATTAAAATTATATTTGGTCCAAGACCTGAGGAGTTTAACAATACTATTTTGATGCTGGTTATATTGATTGCCTTATTATCTTACTTGTAGAGCTTCTTTCCAATCAGCAGATGTACAGGAGCGGCAATTGCAGCAAAAATATTGAAGCTCTTCTATCTGGAAAAGGTTTACAAGATCAAGAAAGGAAATACTTGAATGATATGAACATCTTTTATCCATCCAGTGTTAAAGAAAACACCCATTGGATCTCTGTGTGTACCCACAGTTGCTCCCCACATAAGTATGCATGTTTTAACTATCATTTATTTGTTTTAATTAGTTCCATTAAATTGTTTATGATGTTCTGCATGCAGCATTTCCTTTGTCCCGTCAGTACATAAACTGTTTAATTTTTCTATAAAATTCCAAAAAGAAAATGCCAAATGGTTCTAGATCATTTCATCAAGCTATTTTACATTAAAATATTTAAAATTGTATGGACAGAATTATTAACCCCATCTAGAAAACTAAAGATAAACCCAAATGATCAGATGGAGAGAGTACAAATTTTACTTTTCAATACAGAAGATGGAAAGTTATAACTTTAATTTGATTAAAGGCTCTTTTTGTTTGCAGTGCAAATCTGAATTAGATTTGTACAAATTTGAATCCGATACAAATTTTACATCTGGGCCCAAGTTAATAGAACTACTTTTTTAAAAATTTAAATATAAACATATTTGAATTTGTGAAAACAATTACATGCATGCTAGGCTTTTCAGGCCTCATATCATCCTTATTCATAAGTGTGATGTGATTTGTACTCCTATACCTAATACAAAATTTGCACTTCTTGTTGCATTTGCTCTCTTTGACAATGCAAATTTTGCATTCCAAAACTGAGAAAATTCATACCACCTTCTTTCTACCTTGACTTTCTCTCATATAAAGTGGGGGTTAGGGCTATCAATGGACTTCAAAATCCTAATACCCAATTCAGCATTCAATCCAATTGACTGGATTTTAATGTTAGAACTTTTATCCAATTAATAATTGGATGGGATGCAAATTTAGCACCATCTAATCAAATTAAATTTCGAATCTAAATAAAAATTATTAATGTATGTAGTATAATTATGTGTATATATAGATATCATACATATACAATTATAAAATTTACAACTAATAAATTTAATATTTAATATTTATATATATTTATTATACATGTATAAGTAGTTAAAAGTAATCAATTTTCTTAGAACTTTTTATTTTTTATTTTTTTTGTCATTTTAAACACATAAGGCAGATGCATATTAAATCCAAATCTGATCCAATCCCAATATATCAGATTTTGGATCGAATTCAGATCCAAAGATAAGATAAGCAGATTGAATGTGGATATCACTGGATTGGATCATATTACTGCAGCACTAGTGAGGACCACATCTTTTTAGCTGTTATTTTGTTACACCCAAACAAACAACCTTCCTCCTCTCTTTTTTTTATTGAAGTGGAGACCACATAATTTTACTTTTCTTTTTACTCCTCAAAAGCAAACAAAAGAAAGTCAATCATCAAGCAAAAGTAAACCAAAATTTACTCTCAGCCAATTTGCACTCCTATGCATTTATACCAGTGCAAAACATATAACCAAGATATCATAAAAGTGGTAACGAACCAGGTGGTTTCATCGAAACTCATAGGGTTTTTGATTGATCAAACCTCTTCCGGCATCATACCTTTCTGGAATCTTTCTTGCATAATAGATTTACCTTTAGGTTATATTTGGTTTGAAAGAAAAGATAGGGAAACCTATGCAAGGTGTGTAAAGGTTATCTTTCCCTTCCTTTCCCTACTTTTTACTTCAAACCAAACAAAACATTAGTTTAAAGTGGAATTTAGATTGTGTAGACTGCTAAATGGGTATGGTTTTCAAGAAACTGTTATAACCTGCTAAATCTGTTATTTAGATTTTTATTTTCTCTGCTTTTCTCCACTTGGAATATCTCTGTATTTTTAGATTTTTTTTTTCTTTTCTAATAAGGGATATGCTTCTGGATCATCAGGACATTATGGGATGAAGTAAGAGAATGTGAATTTAAGATGGGAGATTGTGTACATGAAGCATTTTGGAGAAAAAGCTATGACTTCCCACAGACGAGAGATAATGCAGAGAGCTATGAAAATCAGGTAAAGAAATGATAATTGAAGCAAGTTTGGTACGTCATCTTTACCGGAAAAAAAAAATATTGGGATTTTATTGGATATGAAAATAAATAGGGAATATCTATGATGCCGAAAAAATAGGGTATGCAAAGAGTTTTGACCAATCAAAATCCAAACATGAATTTTGATAAATAACACCTGATTTGCATTTTGGATATCAATCTTTTCCATATCATAGTCGAACTCAAATAAATAATGAAATAAATATGAAATGAACACAAAACAGGTCTCTTTGCAAAATATTAAAAAAATAATAAGGGCAAATTACAAACAATCACCCTGCACCTAAGGGATAGTGACACTTACCCCTCCCCAACTTTTTTAACTTCATGGAATATTTCCTCAAACAATTCTAAAACACTATATTAACCTCATACTAATTTACGAGACCATTTTGCCCATGTAACTTAACTAGTTTTTCTTCTAAAATCCTAACCCTCACATGTTTCTCAACTTTCTTTAGAATGGTTATTTTCATCATTTGATATCTGTTGCTGTCAATCCATAGAATCTTGAATAGAAAATTTAGTAATTTTAGTTTTACTATCAACTCCATTATTGGGTCAGGGGGCAAAGTTCATAGGGATCTATGTTGCTAAACAAAGCTCAGGGGTCTAAGCTTGCCACCCTCTAAGTACAGGGTGGCTATCTGTAATTTTCCTCAAAAACAAACTCTGACTAGAGGGTACTCCAATAAATACAAAATAGTAAATAAAAATAGAAACAAATCTTCAATAACATAGATTGAATTTGTATAAGCTTTAGGGTTTGTACTTTCAAAGCAAGTCCTACCAAATGCTCAAAACACTTATTGTTAGCTCTTTTTTTATTCTTTCCCATAGCCCTAATTAAGTTCACAAGCAAAAACTTACCTCGATGAAAAAACTCCACACACCATTGAGTTATTGGTTATGTAGACAACATGACATACAATATATATTACACAAATTTTGTACCCAGTTCAATTGTGCATCTATTTTGTAATTATGATTTGTAGTCCTATTTAATACAAAATTTTCATTTTTTATCTCATTGGCATTCACTAGCAGTGCAAATTTTGCATCTCAAAAGCTTAAGCAAAATTTGTACCACCTTCCTCCTACCTCAATTCTCTCTTTTATAAGGGGGAACAATATCATTCTTACTTTCTACCTCACTATCAAATAAATATAACTCTCCTACCTCTATATAAGGTGGAGACTGCATTTTTCTTCCTGTTTTGCTTGTCAAACAAATAAGACAAAGTCAAATCTCTGAAGTAAAAGTAAACCACAAGTTATGCTCTACCTATTTGCAAACAAACTGAGATAAACGTGTTCAAACGAAACTCTCTTTAAAAGCTTTTAACTTGTTCTTAATAGAACTCAAAGAGGAGTCCTCTCTTCTTGTGTTAAAACACTTTAAGCCTTGTTGACTTGATCAATTTCCCTTGATAATTTGTCTCATGTTGCTTAAGGAAACCTTGAGAGGTCTAATAAGTTATGCCGCTCCTAAACCACAATTTTTGCTTGTGCTGCTGTGCATGTATTTGTGGTGCTTGGTCTGGTGTATAAACACCCATGGAGAAGAAAAGTGGGAAGGGTGCTTAAGGCTTATTTTGCATTTTGCAATGAGGGTGACATTATTACTTTTTTTTGTGGGATTTGACACTGGATCTGCTACAACTGAGCTTCAAGTCAAGCTCGAGCCTAATAGAGCTCTTATATATATATATATTATAATTCTTAATTTTTTAAATATAAAATAATAAATATTTTTTATATATAATTTTTTATTTTTATAAAACATTTTTTCTCAAATCGAGCTCGAGTTTACGAGTTTTTGACTCGAGTCAAGCGTGAGCTCAAGGTTCTAGTTCAAACCTTTTACTACCTTGGCGAGCCGAGCTCGAGCCTTGTACTATTCGGCTTTACTCGGCTCGAATCCACCCTTATACCCACATAATGGTTTGTGGGTTTCATCCTCTATGGTTGAAAGTGGTTTCGACCATTGGTTTGGGGCCTTTGGGCCCATGATTTGTGGGTTTCACTTTCATCCTCTATATATATAGAGGAAAAGAGCCTTATTTAGAGAATTGATGACTATAATGATAAAGAGACTTACCAAGCCACAAATGGTGGAGAAAGCCCATGTGTGAAAGATGCCAATACATAGGGTGTCAATGGTATTTGAAAATCCGATTTCGAATTCGATATCCGACTTAATCGAATCAAATTCGGATAATTTGAATATTTAATCGGTCAAATTCAGATATCCTATTCATACCAAATAGTTAATCGGATTTGAATTCGAATATGACCTGATTCGATTTAATAAGTATCCAAATTTGATCGATTATTTAATTCTTATATGTAATATATAAATATTTTATATAATAACTAAATTATATAAATAATTTTATATATTTATTAATTATCTAAAATAATTAATAAATCAAATTTGAATCGAATCGAATATTTGAATATTTAATCAGATTCAAATTCAGATATTAATTTTCAATATCCGCCGAATATCAAATTAAATTCGAATATCAGATTTGAATTCGAACATTGCCTGATCCATTTCTAATTCGATCCGTTTACACCCCTACCAATACATGCTGTTTGGTGAGAATCGAAACAGCTTTCTCCCCCTCTATTTCTTTTTCTTCTTTGATACCTTCCCCCATCTGTGGCATCAGAGTCCCATGCTTTTGGATTCCTAGATATGACACTTCACCTCTTGTATTATTGTGGCATCTTTCGGAAGCACCTTGCCCTTGTCCATCCTTGTGAAAGGTGTTTATGGACCTTTTGAGTATATTATATTAAACCAGTTTTTATTACAATGGGCTAATAAGACCTTGCTGACAAGGTACACCTTGGACTTCATCAACTGACAAGAATGTTTAGTTTTCCTGCCATTATTTCTGAGATGTTATGACTCCTCTAACAATGTACATCTAAGTTGCAACTTCAATGAATCATGCTTTCTCAAGATTGGGACTTGAATTAAGTAATGTTATATATGATTGAGACCAAAGATATTGACGTCTGATTATCTTTCAACCTGTTTCTAACGAGAGACCATTTACCTAAACAAACTGTTGTATTATGAAACAAATATTTTTTTGGGTAGAGCTGTCAATGGATCAGCTGGTCTGGTTTGGGACAGGGTGGACCAGTCCCGAATCATTTTTTTATCAGTTCTAAAAAATAAATCCAGAACTAAACCAATTATCAATTGGGATAATTAGATTGACTCGATTATCCCGATTATACTTGATTTACCTATCATATATAACAGCTGAAACTTCATTTTTGATAATATAATAATAAAATGACAATAAATTAAATAGTAAACTGTTTATATGTTGATAAAACAAGTGTTTTTAAGCTTTAACCAAAAATGTCTTTTATACTTGTTTACAAAATTTTCCCTTTTAGACATAAAATATAACAAAAATTACAGCAAATAAAACTAGGAGATTTTTATATCTTATTGGTTTGATTCTGAATAGGTTTGAAACAACAAAAACTAGTCATAATCCAATTATAATCAGGACATAATTCAGAAGTTTTCAAGTAGTTTGCAAAGTTATTCATTAAGGCTGCATTTGGAAACGATGCAAACAAGTGTGAATGTAAATATGTAGAATGTAAAACGATTCATTTAAATTGCAAAGTTGGGTTAATTTTGCACTGACAAATTTATCTTTTCACCAAACAGACTTTGAGCTGTAATGGATGCAAACATGAATTTCAATAAAGCATATGTTTTTTTTTTTATCAAAAGCCCACTTGAATGCAAATTTACTTCTCTTTTATTGATGTACTTTTACATCTTATTATCAATGTAAATATGCATTGGTCTGTCATTTGTCAATGAATAAATGTAATGTTGTCAAAGACAAGTAAAAATGAACCAAAGTGCAAATTTACCCTGAACTGAGATTTACACTCTATTTGCATAGCCTAAAATATTTGAGACTTTGGGGCATTGCAAAAGGATACTTCATCCGAGTGAATAGTGTTTACTTGCACAATTTGTAGGAGGCTTGAGATATCTCCTAAAAGAATATATTTGTGCTTCCTTTCTTATGAATGCTCCTAATATATATAATTTTATGGCAGCCTACACTAGCAAGCTCTCTTGATGGAGTATGGAAGAAAGAAGATTTTTTTAGTCGTCCAAGTAAAAGTTGTGAGCTGTCACTATCCTACACTGCCCCACTTGGGAAAATTCAGAGGGAGGAAGAGCGATGGCACTTAGACAATTATTCCTCTCAGACTAACAGAAAAGCAGATGAGACAGGCAACATACACTTCAACTGTTTCAAGGAAAGTGATTTAAACCTAGAGCTAACCATCTCATCTTCCATCTCCTAACCCAATGGAGAAACAAAATAAAATGTTCTTGAGAGTCATGTTAAAGCTTCTGCTGGTTCTCTTAATAAACTTTTCTATTAGCACTTGTTGGAGATACTCCAAAGTAGAAGTGGCAGTTGGGTCAAGTTTGGATAGGGCGATCAAATGGATCAAATCAAATCATATATGGATGGATCCAAATTTGATTCGCTTATATTCGAATATCTTATCCATTGGATTTATGTCAAATTCAAATCAAACTGGGACGGAAAACATATTGAATAGTAGAAATAAATTAAGCTAAAAATGATCAAAATATTATACAAGTATTAATTATAAAATTAATTAAAAACGACTTTTGATATTATACTTTATGAATAAAATTAATTTAAAATTACTTGAAGGATGGAATTAGGATCACCCTTAATGGGTTAAATTAAAAATGGCATTTGGTTCGCAATCAAGATCAGAATTAAAATCCCATAGAATTAGAATCAAAATCACCTATTCCCAATGCCTATTTGGTTTAGATGGGAATAATCAGTCATATTCCAATTATTGTTATTTGGTTCATCTAGAAGCCAAAATAAGAATCAAGCAAATTTTTTGGTTTTATTATTATTATTATTATTATATGAATTGACTAAACATATTTAGGAAGAAGTTTCATAGAGCATGTTGTTTCTAGATGACATTTTTTTAACTGATGAAACTAATGATGAATTAAATGCAAAATTAAGCTTATGGACAAACGCTGTGGAAATAAGAGGTTTTAAAATAAGACTTAAACAAAGTATATGACATATAAATTTAGAAACACTAGGAGTGTAAATCAAGATACACTTAGGATTGGAGATCAAGAGATAACTCAACGTCACTATTTCCAATACCTTGGTTCAATAATTGATAACAAGGGAGAGATTGAGGATGTCACCCAAAGAATTAAAGTAAGTTGGGCAAAATGAAGAGGTGCATCTGGACTTTTGTGTGATAGATGAATACCACTTAAATTAAAATAAAATGTTTATAAAACAGTTGTTAGGTCAGTTATGTTGTGTGGAACAAAGTGTTGTGTAGTCAAGAAATATGTTCAAAAAATAAGTGTGATAGAAATGCAAATGCTAAGAAGGATGAGTGAAAAAACTAGAAAGGATCGATAACCATCCATAGGAACCTAGGAGTAGCTCCAATAAGTGATAAAATGATATAGAGTATACTAAGATAATTTGGTCACATGCATAGAAGACCACCACCAGGTCTAGATAGAAGAAGTGATCTGTTATAAGTGGATATGGGTTTAAATAGAACAAATTGGCAAATTCATGTAGCTAACTGCATTCAGTTAAGGCAAGGATGATGATGATGATTGGTATTGCCGTCATCGTCATCATCATCATCATAGTATTTCTTCTTAATTTATTATTATTTTATTAATATATTACTATTTTATTATTTTAGTAATATTTTATTACAATTTTTTAAATAATTATTATTTTATTAGTATTTAATAATTAATATCTTACTATATTATTGTTAATTTACGAATATTTTATAATCTATTATTATTTTGTTATTACTTTTCTAATATTTTATTTTTCTTATTATTATTGTTATTATTATTATTATTATTATTATTATTATTATCATTATTATTTATTATTATTATTTAAGTGTAATCATAATATTTTTGTAATAATATATTATTTTGTATTACTTTAATAATATGTTGTTAATATTAGGTTAGGTGTATTATGTTGTCAGAATAGGCCTTTCTTTTTATTTTTACATTTTGTTGTTTGATAGGAAGGAAAAGTTTAAAAGGCAGAGTGATGCTTGCTTAAATGCCCCCATGCATAAAAAAAACAAATATAAAGCAATTTAGAATCAAACAAATTAGAACCGGAGATATTAATCCCACGACCCAAATTGGCCAATAGATCCTCGGTGAAATTCGCTTCTCTGACATTCATGAATGAATGAAATTTCTGACGTTTCAACACGGATCCACATGACCACACAAGCTGTTAATGATACTTGAATATCCATCCTTCGATGATGAACTTTAAGTGAGGAAACCTAGCAGCAACAGTGTGAGCCTTCCAAGGCAATCCAAGCTTCAGCTACATTTATTAAACGTTCTCTTATATCCTTATAACTAACCCACATAATCTTATCATCAATATAACACGTACATCATTGCACATCTTCCATTTATTCTCGGAGATGCATCAAATTAATCTTAATGGCACCACTTTCTAGGGGGGCGTTATTTTGGATTTGGAGAGAGGGAAAGTTGGTCAATGGGATTTTGGTTTTCGTTGACCAAGAATCTCATGCTTTTTTTTTCAATTTTATGTGGGGATCAGAGATAGTTCATTTTCTTGCATAGCATCACTTATTCAGGAAAGTGATACCCATCTTGTAAGTGGGTAAATCACTTTCCCACATAGGAAAAAGTTGCCAACACTTGAATGGGACAAAAATGCCCCTTTTAATAATGGATTTCTATGGCTAAAATGGTCATTATCTTATTTGTCTATGAAATAAAAGAACATGGGTAAATGCACTTACCTGAATAAGTGTTTCCTAAAAAAAACTTATCAAGATAATTGCATTTACCCAAATAACTTACCAAAAAGCGAACGATCCCTAATGTGCCCTAATATCTTCCACCGAATAACCATCCAAACTTGCCACGATTCCTCACAATGAAAAAAAGAGGTGGCTAACATCCTCTTCAGCTCCACAGAATGGATAGTTGGCATACCCCACCTTTAAGTCTCAGCTTAGTTAAAATCTTGCCCAATTTCCACACACGCAGCAGCCTAGTATCAATATTATTTTGGTCCAAGTTCACCTCCATAAGATTGATTATATGCTGATTTAATGGAGTAATTCCCCTTGGGTTAGGCTTCCAACTAAGTGTACCATTCTCATCATGGATGGAATTGGAACCAAACGAATTTTTTTCCCACAAGGCAGGAGGAACTTTCTCTAGAATTATTTTTCCTTGTTCCACATTTTTTAATCATTAGGCTGCATTTAGAAACAATGCAAATGGAGAATAAATCACAGTTCAGGATAAATTTGCACTCTGGTTCATTTTTGCCTGTGTTTAGCAACATTACATTTTTGTATTGACAAATGACAGAAAACAAATTTTTCAATGCATATTTACTTTAATAATAAGATGTAAAAATACATCAATAAAAAAAAAGTAAATTTGCATTCAAGCGGGCTTTTGATAAAAAAAGGCATATGCTTTATTGAAATTCCTGTTTGCATCCATTACAGCTAAAATCTATTTGGTAAGAAAATAAATTTGGCAGTGCAAAACTAAGCCAATTTTATAATTTATATAGAGCGTTTTACACCCGACATATTTGCATTCACACTTATTTTTATCGTTTCCAAACACAGCCTTAATAAAATCACTAACCATACAATTTTGCTCCTCTTGGACTGTCCTCATACTATTGCCTATAGTGGAATTCCCAACCCACTTATACAAAAATGAATAGATTTACCATTCGGTAGCTTCCATCCAATCCCTTGTAACAAAGTTACTCTGCCTGCTAATTTGGACACCTATTCCGAAAAATCAAACCGACTTGTCTTTTCCAAACACACCTATTCCGGTATCAGAGGTATTATTGTCACTATATTCTTTAATAAATTAAAACATTACTTGTCTTCTGGTAAAAAAAAAAAAAAATTCAAATCGGTACTGATTACATAAGAATTCTCACTTTCATATTTTCCAAAAGTTCATAAGTTTTGATCCAAATATCAGTCTATTACCCAAAATGGTGGCATACATTAAACAACCTAAGTTATTTCCTGTCAAATTACTTTGTCACAATGATTATTTCTTTTTCAATTAAATTTCAAAAGCTTTCCTTAATGCGTTTTTATCAGATCAACCACCTTTTTTTGGTAGAAATAAATATCTACTTAGGTTATGTTTGGTTTGAGGGAAAAAGTAGGGAGAGGTAGGGAAATTTATACAAGTTTTGTAAAGGTTTCTCTTCTTTTCTTTATTTTTTTTCCTTCAAACCAAATACAGCCTTAAGACCCTATTTGGCATCATTCCATGGGAACATTTATCTATGAAACAAGAATACGTTTGGTATGAAAATAACACATGAAATAACTTGTTCCCAACATACTTCCTCATTTTTCAAGAACAGGGAATTGAGAAACGTACGTGTTTTTCCTAGGTGCCGATTTAAAAAACCTAACACGTGTGCGACTTCATCCATGTGTAAAAGGGGTTATTTTGGTAAAACCACAAAAAAAATTAGAATCTCATGCAACCGATAATCCCTAACCTCTCAGCATTCTTTCTGCCTTCTCCCTTCGAGATCCAATCAGCCCCCCACAAGACTGTGCCCCACAACGTCCCACAGCACATTCTTGTCATGTATTGAAAACATCTTCTAATGATAGTGTCTAAAATGATGATATCATCATCTGGAAATGTTCTTAATACATAACGGGGATGTGCTGTGGGACATTGTGGGGCACAATCTTGTGGGAGGCTGATTTGAATTCCCTTCGAGTTCAAATCAGCTCCCACAACATCCCACAGCATATTCCCGCCATGTATTGAAAGCATCTCCCAATGATAATACCAAAAATGATGATGTCATTATCAGAAAATGTTTCCAATACAGGGCAAAGATGTATTATGAGACGTTGTGGGGACAATCTTGTGGGTGGGGGTGGGGGGGAGCTGATTTGATCCATTGAAAACCACAGGTTCCTTCCACATTGCAGAAGCATGTGGTGTTCAGAGATCTTCTCTTAACATCCATGTACATGGAATAGTTAGGTAAAAGTAGGGAGCTTCCCTGTATGAATTAATCCACCAATTTTTGCCACGTGGAAGGATCTTGTGGCTGATTTTTATCATTCATCCCTATTGGATTTAGCTGCATGTAAAGTTCAAAATATCAGAAATGCAAAGAGTATATGAAAAAGACAACCTTAAGAAATAAATTGGGATATACTTTTTCTTGGCAAACAAAAGAAATATTTTATTAAACAGAAACAGGTTTCAATACACCAGAGTTTTGGATCAAAACCGAAAGCCAAGTGGGAG